AATTCTAAGAAAATTTAAACATATTTCTACATAAAGTTTATATACTTTTATTTGGAGCATAGTATCGCATTAATCCTTCAAATTGAGGAAATCGCATTTTATGCGGATTTTGCCTGGAAACTAATAACTTAAAGGCATGTTGACATGCTTTTCTTTTATGTAAAAACAATTTTTTAAACTTGTCACGTTCAGCTGCTGTAAATGTTTCGTTAACTACTGCCAACATCAAATTCATCATCACGTACAACATTGTAGATAAGTAAGATACAAAATATATTGCATACCATTTATTTTTTGAGTATGATGGCATCATTACATCTGGAAAACTAAATACTAAAATTATTACTAAAAATTAATTATAAACGCTATTATTAAGAATTTAACTTAAAACTATTATCAGAAGTTCAATTATAAAAGTACTTACTTAGCAGTAGTAAGAAGAACAAAAAGACTCACAAAACTATCTTGCAGTGTACAAAAATTTCTATTCATTTCAGAAAACATGTAATAGCCCAATACTGTATAAAGTGTTATGAAAAATAGAAGTAAGCCTAACATATCCAGAATAGGAGGTAAAGTCAGAAGTATTTGTCTTATGAATCTTCTAACACCTCCAAAACATTTGGTGTCTACTAAAAAAATAGGCCTTAGAGCACGTGTTACGCGAAAGTGCGATGACTGACGCACAAGAACTGTCATTGCTTCTAAAAACATGATGACCAATGTGATGCACTGTAAAAACAATGTACATATATAATTTATATGTTCATATATATGGTGATAAAATGTAACTTTATAGATGATAATATTGCAATAAAGTTCATACTAAAATAAAAAATATTTGCATGTATATTCATTTGAGGTACTTAAACATTTAATACATTTGGTGAAGAAGTCATATGCAAATTTCTTATTTAAGTGTCAGTTAAAATATTTCTTTAAAGTTCAATCATGAAAAATTTTTGGATAAAATTTATGTAATTTTAAAACTTAATGTAATGTTCTCTTTCGTATCTTAAATAAAGGTAGTAAAATACTCAAAATGAACTTCAACACTCTGCACTTAATATATGAAATGTATACATACTGTAGTATATTTAAAAATTTAGTTTCAAATCATTATATAGTATCAAATTAATTATTACTTTATTGCATTAAATTAATTATGCAGAACTTCCTTTTTAAGTATGCTGATCAACTATTACATATCACATAAGCATATTATCAGTGTCTAATACTTTTATACCATTGTGTAATAGACATGCATATGAATGAGTATAGTGTCAATAATAATGAGACAGTAACAATGGCATTATTGATATAACATACATTAATTAAAAATAAGTGTGTTCTGCAAGGCATATCCCAATAAAGGTATTAGTATACATAATATATTGAAAATGAACAAATAATGTAATTATCAGTCTCGTTTTATTAAAAATGTAATCTAAAATAGCCTGCAGTTGTGGTGTAGCTTATCTTCTCATTAGTACCCTCATGTTTCTTGCATCAATATTGTGGAAAGCAACCATTGCATTATGTGCAGCTGTTACAAGTATTGATAAAGAAGTGGAAGAAAATCATACTTCAATCTCATAATGGTATTCTATTTACTAACAATTATAAGACAAATGTAAATAATTATATCAAAATAGAAAAAATGTATATGTGAAAAAAATTATACGGGCTTGCATACAAATCCAGCATACAATGTGAAATTCGATTTAAAAAAAATATTGTTCTTACCTTTAGCATTGTCCGCTTGTGCTTTAACATGGTTAACCAGCCAATCCATCTTAATTTTAAAGCTAATTCTATGCCTATAATTATCAAAGCAAAAAGTTCTATGGATCCATGTGCCCATACTGGTATCTAAAATAAAATATAAACATGAGCTAAAAAAATGATATAATAGACAGAAATTATTTTTGTATTAAACTTACACCAAATAATGGTACAGCTGGTTCTTCTACGAGAGCCAGAACCAAAAGTATAAGAGAAGTCAATAAGTCTAATCCATAGTACCAATTATTATGAACTAAGAGATATGCCGGTAAATCTTCAGGATGTTTTGGATGAGAGTCAAATTTTTCATTATTTCTACCTTCCTACAAAAACCATGTTCTTTTTAAATAGAACTTTACATTCTATTAACATGTAATGTATACACAAACACAAACACTAAG